GAGACGAGATCCACCTTCCTATGGGAGAGGAGAACACTTTTCACCTCTGGTCAACATGTCCTTCTCTACTTCTCCACCAGCCTCTCAGCTAAACAACCGAATACAAGAACATCATTTCACGTCTCTGCAGAAAGCTTTCCTAGTCAGTATAAAAACTGCAGGAGAGATCTATAATCCAACTACTCCTCTAACACGACACTGCTCTAATACTGGATCTTAAGCTTCAGTAGGCATCAGAATTATCTAAGACGCCTATTAGAAATACAGATTTAAATTCATAACCCACTGTGTGAGGGGGGTCAGGGGTGCGTACGTGAAACAGGCACTCCAGGCAATTCTGATTAAGAAAATAAATAAAACCATACTTTGAGAAACTACCCTAAGGCTATTAAAACTGCCGCTTAACTGATGTCTTCCAAGTCTCGAAGAGTGGTTCCGGTATCCTCAACATCTAACCGCCAAGTCCGCCCACGTGGGCCCACGTGGGCCCTCGGCAATCTTGACCATCTGTGTTTACAGTTCTCTCCCGGGGCCACATCCACCGTTCCCACACCCGCCTCACCTGCACTGGAGCCCGGCTGTGTTCCTCCTTGTTGATCTTTTTTCCACTTCCTTCCTCTGCCCGTGGAGGACGATGCGTGCTTCTCGTTGTGATAAGGTGGGCAAGTACTTGGCTCTCTGGACTCTAACGCCAGGCCCGGCTTCCGATCCCGGAGGCACCCCCTTGGTAAACACAGACAACGTCTTTGAGACTCAAGAGGACTCCTCTATCAAAACGAAGGATGGGGCGCCAGGGTGACTGTCAGTCGGGCATCCGACTCTTGATTTTGGCCCAGGTCAGGATCTCAACGGTCCTGAGATCGAGCCCCGCGGTCTTGAGATGGAGCCCTATTTTGGCTCTGAACTGGGTGCGGGCCTACTCGGGATTCTTTCGTTCCCTCTCTCTGCCCCACCCCTGCCATGAAGGTAAAGAGGACCCACCCCAAAGTCATTACCCCAGCACTGGAGGTATTTAGATGTTAAATGTATTAGTTTGGGGGTTTTTGGATTTTTCATTTGGTTGGTTGATTTTTTTGGTTTTGGGTTTTGTTGTTGTTGCTGTTTAGCCTCTTGTAAGGGCTTCAGTCCTCCCAGGAATCCTAAGCGTTCTAAGCAACATCAACATTCTTAGAGAGACACGATAAATGTAAGAACAACTCTTAACTCCTTACTGCACAGGCTTGTGAACCAAATTTTGGAACAACTTAAAAGAGCAGATACTTAAGATGCATCAGATCAAATCAGTATAACTAAAGTTCTAAAGATAATCCAGATCTGTTAAGGGTAGACCACACTCACCCTACGCCAAAATTATTTTACCAGGTATTTTTTAGTTAATAATCATGTTCCTTAGCATTTTGAGGCCAAGAGGAGAAAACACATGGATATTTAGGAGTCCACAGTTGCCGAACGACAACCTGGTTCATTTACAGTAGATGGTACAAGTATGGGAGGTGAGCGGAGGGGATGAAGTGGACCAGTCCAACGCGTGTTAAAATATTCCGTGCATTTGCCATGCACAAGATAGTGGATAATGTGAAAGATTAAAGAATGCATAAAGTATCGATTTATTCTTTCCAAGGAGCTTAAACTAGTTGAGGGACTTACTGACACTGCATTTTTTTTTTATAGACAAGATAGCAATGACCATCACCTTCTAGGATTTATCCTGTTTTTCTCTTCAGGAAGCAGAAGGTATAAAATTAAAAGTAGGTAGGATTGGGAAGATAGATCATTTTTCTCGAACATCATCCCCATAAAAAGGATTCAAAATAGGTTCTCACCCCATCCTGAGAGCAACCCTGAGGGATAGGCATTCTCTCCATTTTATAGACAAAGCAGCCGAGGCGAGGCTGTTCCAAAGCGCTTACCCAAATTCACAAGTGGAAAGCAGGGGTGCTGGGGTCAAAGTTTTAACTCCAAGGTCTAGCTCCTCTTCCTGGAATTGAAAGGCAAGTATTCTTCCGAGTTTTTTTGGTAGTCTTCATGTTTTGTGACTGGGAAGTATACACGAAGGCCCAAATGAGCCCTTCCCCCCCCCAAAAAAAAGTTAGTGATGGCCAAGCTTCAGGAAGTAGTTTATCTGACTCCTGGCCAAATGAAGGCAGCACGTGGAGCCTTAGAACAAGAAAAATTGAGAGTGCACATTTTCTATTCTTGTATGTGCTTCCCAGACACCCTTCACATGTTCTTATTGGGTTCTCTCACCAATCCTGTGGTGGGGAAAACGCGTAAAAAATAAGAAAGCCACAGCAGCAATCCAAGGTCTGATGTTCTCTCCTCAAAACCCCTTCGACCCTCAGAAGAATCAAAGCAATCATGTGAGCACTAAAGAATTACTTAGTGGCTTAGGAAAATGTGTTCTAAGGGCGCAGAAAATCACATACGGGGTCATTCTATTTTTGTGTAAAATAAAAATCAAGAGTATACTTTATGCACCTACAGATGTGTCGATAAGCATGGGGATGATTTCAATAGCACACCCAGGAAGTTACCTTTGAGGTGCACAATCAAAAGAACAGGAAAATTCCACCTCTTGCTTCGTGTCTTTTAAGAGTGATATTACAGGTGATTTCCACCTTGTTTCAGTATAATAAAATCATGTTTCCTCCACCTTTTGGTGCTTCACAGAATGCCACCAAGACAGAGCTTTCTTCTTGAGTTAGGAACATTACTCTCTGGGTCTGAAACTTCTGAAGGATTGAAACCCTGGAGGCGTGTGCTAGCATCCCGGTTTGCAAGCCTAAGGTGCCCCCAGACGCTTTTGTGATAACGTGGTTTCCTAGCTTCCTCACAGGACTGTCGGATGAAAAGTGCGAACATACGTGGAAGTGCTTCACTGGGTTATACAAAGTCTGTGACCCCCTCTTCTTAACCTGCTTGCATTTATCTTTGGGCACTTTTGACCTGGCCAATTGCTAGCTTTGGCTCCAAAGAAGCCAGAAAGTCACAAATCTAAAAGAACATACAGGACTTGTTCAGTTGCACTGAAGGATGTCAAGGGTAGATCAGTTCCTCAACCTAAACTCCAGCAAAAACCCCAAATTTGAAAGGGGATAAATCCCTAGGATCTAAGACTTGGGTGGAGAAAGTAGCAATTCTCTCTCCTGCTTGGTTCAGCTCTACTTTAGCTTTGTTTGCCCAGGAGCCCACTGGAAGGCTCCCCAAAGTTCTGTGACAGAGGCTCCAGACGGAATGAATCCAAGACAGCCAGCCATTTGGTTAGCAAACCCTGCGAGACTGGTAAGCGCCGGCTGCCAGCCGCACAGCTGACAGCTCTCTAGGCTGATTTTGATCATCATCCCGCAACTGTGATGGGAATGGTAAAACACTTAGGTGCACAGGTGGATTCTGATCAAAGTTTGGGAATTCAGACCACGAATGAAGCCCAATAGTGTGGAGATCAGACACAAGCAACCTCCGTTAGCAGATACGCGGCCGATCAAAGAGCCAGTTCCCGCAAGTGCTTTAAAAAACTTCGTGAAGGGCCATTTCGAGTATCTATACAGGGCACCACTAACAACAGCAGCATCGCCGTGTTTTCTGACCCTTGACGGTATATATTTTTAACAGGTTTTTAACCAAGTTAAGGACAAACCTTTTCTGTTTTGATCCCATAATAATGAAACGTTACTGACACCAACAGCACTCCCATCTCCAGCAAGATGAAGCCCCTGGTCTGCCCCATTCCGGAAATAAAACAACTAAAGCAAGTCCAGGTCGGAGTTTGCTGAAAACACAACGCTCACCAGCGAAACACTGCTATTCAAGTTCACAGACAGAGTATGTTCAGGCAAGTGAGGAAGACCGACCGGCTAGCTATCTTCAGGAGAAATGTGTAAGGCAGACTCGGTAGGTTGTAAACGACTGTCCGCTCCACAAAATTACTTGGGTCTTAACCAGGAAATCACTTGTCATTAAGTATTTTTTAAAAACCTACCTTATTATGTGGGTTACTACAAAATTGTACCACAGAAAACGTACTAACACCCAAGTTATTTCAGCCAATAGCTTTGAATTTGTCTTTAATCCCTTTTATTGCTCCTTAATAGTGATTTTCACAGTCTTCCAGCTGACACCGAAGTGTTTTTTCTTGGAATCCTTTATAGAATTGTATCTTCTTTGTGGAAAACACATTCTCCAACAAGAAAAACTAACAAATCCATGGTGTAGATTTCACAACTCTTTTTGTTTTGTTTTTTTTTTTAAGTGAATTTGTGTGCCTTTAATTTCAGAAGAATTGCTATTATACAACAAACCTTTTATTTTTTTTCATTCATAAAAACAGTCCACAGCATTCATAAAACAGGATGTTAGAAGAAATAAAAAGACTTTTCAGGTGGATTCATTATGTTTTAAGAAGAACAGATGAGTCAGTAGCAATTTAATACAGATGGAAACAAATACAAGCCATATAAAATCAGGATTTGAAAAGGGGGGTGGGGGGAGATATATCAACCAAAGTAAATTTAGAGCTTTCAGGCATGCAACTCAACATCTGAATTTTCTTCACTTAACAACCAAAATAGGTACTTTAATAGGTGTTTATAAAGAAGGCTACAAAA